TATGAGCCTTTAGTTCGACTATTGATAGCGCTCCTCTTTATCTATTAGAAATATTATTTTGATAAATTTAATTTATATTTAGAATTTTTTCGATAATTATTGGAAATATTATTTTGATAAATTTAATTTATAGACAGAAGTCCATACCATACGTAACAAAATAAAAACTAAAAATTATAATTTGAAATTAATAACAGAGTTGTTTGTCGTTGATAATATAAATGAATTGTGTAAATAAAATTAATTTACCACTTGAATTTTTATCCTTAAATAAAGTAATGAAATGTATAAATAATCAAATATTAGTTCAATAAAATTTAGCGTTAGTTAAATAACAATTAAAATAATTTAAGATCACCAACAACTTTTTAGTTATTAGTTAAAATTATATTAGCTAAATAAATAATAATTTAGTGTAGAAATAAAATAATAAGATTGATTTTTCGATTAAAAGTATTATGTGAAATCTTCGATTATTTCCTCTTCCTCTATCCACATCTCATAGGTAAAGTGCTTAAATCAATATAGAACATTTTCTTCTGTATGAATCGATCGATCTTATTCCATTCATACCTCCCATGAAAAATATCGAATGGATACCAAATTAACAGAGTTGGTAATATCGACGACTCCTGCTAACAATTAAAGTATCGTCTTTAGTTCACATTGATAATCGTTGATGGAATATGCAAATAGAATATTATCAATTATTATTGATGAAATTTTTGTTAATAATCATTTGTCCATCTATAACAAGTTCTTACACGAAGAATTCGCAAATTTTCAACCGTACGTTTAATTATTTTTTATCAAAATTTAATAAAAAATTAATCTTAATCCCCACCAAACCGAGCTCAGAATTTTCAATGTTGGAAAGGAGAGGAGAGGGTCCCATTGGTTCAAAACACAAGCACGCTTTTTAACGCTATTTGGTTCCAATGGATTCCCCATTCAACTAATAGGCTAAAGTTGGATTCTTGTTTTATGCACATTCATCCTTTCCATTTGACAGGACACTTGGCAATTGTTGTTAATTACAAATAATTGGATTTCCTGTTCTTTTATCAAGCTTGTTAAGGACACGTGGACACTTTATTGTACGTGTAGAATTCCATTATATCTCTTCAATTATACAAGGGACAACATAACTAGGATTTAAAAAGTTAGAAAATGAAAGTCGTGACACGTTTTCATCCATGGGTATTTATTGTAAAATAAAATTTTGAACAATCGAGCAAGTTTTAAAGAGGTTAATAGTACGTGTCGATGAAATATTAAGTTAATCTTTTTAACAAAGTTAACATCCAACATGGAACATCAAATTTCAATAGAAGGTGAAAATACATTTTAGGGATGGTTACATGTCTCAACTTTTTCAAGTTATAAACGACTCATTTAGAAAATATTTTCAAAAATTCTCTTTCAAATTAGATATTTTAATCGTTATGCAAACTCCAAATTTGGCTATTCAATTACGCAAATTCTCCATAGTAAATAATGTCCTTATTTAATCGTGATGGAAAATTCCCTAATGAAATGACGTGTTAAGACAATAAAATTTGAAACATTATAAAGTAAGGATAGTTATGACGACTGCTTAATCCGCTGTAAAAATGAAATATTTCTTAAATTGTTGTTTCTGTCTTGAAGAATGAATTTGGCACTCGTTTTTAACTCTACGTTGCAGTGCACCCGAGATTAAAAAAAAAAAATTTGAACACACGTGAGATGAGGACACAAACATGTAATTGCATGTATCGAATATTATCTTGTATAGTCATGCATCAAAACATGAAAAGTGATAGATTTCTCTAGAGAAAGAATGAGAGGGGTCAAATGACAACAAAAATTGGTAAAGTCCCATGTAAAATAAGATGCAAATGTTGTTCTATTTTTTTTTATTCAAAATTCAAGAATATTAAAGGAAACTATTGATTGATAACCACATGGTGTATCAATAATTAATGGATCAAAGAATTTTCCAAAAAATGTATAGTCATTACCATTTTAAGTAAAGAATCCTTAGAAGGAATAACATAGGTGTAATCTCCTCATTGAATTAAGTACACGTTCCTAAGCTTTCTTGGTAAGTTTTATTTTTTCCTCTCTCAAGTGTATTATATTTCAGGGAAGCACCTCAAAAGCTGAATTCCCATTTGCCCAAGATATTATTTTAAAGTCATAAAGTTATATTCTAAGTTCTTATCTACCCAATAATCAAATTCTTCACATTTTTTAATCCAATAACATCGTGACATTTATGGGGTGCTACGAAGAAAAAGTATACTTGACATGACTCTGACATTATTAAAGAAAAATAAGTTGAATGTTTATATTATTGCCCAATTCTATTCTTACACGAAGGACGGCTTAAAAAGGTTATGATATCGAGGAGATTTAGCTTATGATTGGTTAAAGTTAATAAAAATTAAGTCAAAAATAATAATTAATTTTAATTATATATTTCATGGAACTCACGATTTTTATCAAAATCAATTAAACATCTGATTTTTGACAAAATCAAAGAGGATACCGTTCGTTATATCGTCATGATTTCACTAAAATAAGATAGAAAAAACGGAGGTAAATCAAAACTAACGCAACTAGTTATTGTTGCTCCAATGATAAGGCGGCGAAAAGAAATTCATGCAGCTGACTTCATTTTTATTAGGATAGACAATTTATTATTGTCGTATAATCTAGTCTAATATGCTAAACATGTATGTACTGACTACTGAGTTTAAATTACATGGAAAATTCAACAGCCTGAATCTCTCAAAAAGTGTAGTGGGCTTTTCTCTCTTCTGAAGAAGACAGCTAGCAAAGGTTGGAAAGATCCTCAAACATGGTATTTTTTTCTCAATGTAAATAGACAACCTTTTACTGCAGAGTCTTTGAAATTCAAAGTCTCTTTCTTGTTCCCTCTATAAAAGCCGTCTCTTAGAATTCCTCAATCAATCTCATCACAGACAAACCAGACAATATATTTTACTCTCAGAATATAGGAGGCAAATACCCTTTTTTTCTTCTCAAATCGACATGTCCAGGCTTATGGAACCACTTTCTGTAGGGGGAGTTATAGGAGAAGTTGTTGACAATTTCATTCCAAGTGTGAACTTGAATGTGACTTACAATTCCAACAGACAAGTCTCTAATGGCCATGAGCTCATGCCTGCTGTCATTACTGCTAAACCTCGCGTCGAGATCGGTGGAGAAGACATGAGGGCTGCTTATACACTTGTATGTATAGCCTTCTCATATTGTCACATTGGGATCGATCTCTATAGAACGTGTCTGAGAATTAGAAATATGATTTTCACAATTTGTCTGCATGTTTATAGGTCATGACTGATCCTGATGCTCCAAGTCCAAGTGATGCATACTTGAGGGAACATCTTCACTGGTTCGTTCTTCATCTAAAATAGTCTAGCATTTAGATAATGCATTCTTTATTACTCAACTCGACTAAACAATACAATTTATAAGATTTTAGCTTCTTTGTTTTTACTGTTAAACACTGTATAGTCTTCCCTACCATAAGAAATTACTGCACGTTAAGTTCTCAATAAATATTCTAACATTGAATTATGTGATTTTCTTTCAGGATAGTTACAGATATCCCGGGTACCACTGATGCTTCTTTTGGTAAGTTTCTCAAATCCAAGATAATTAATTATTATCACTGCCATCTGAACTATTTTCAATGCACTGCTATGTATGATCAAGTGATGCTCTAAGTTATAGTGAAAACATAACATGATGTAACACGACACGACACAACGTATATAATTTGTCCGTTCTTTAACATTAGTACTCTGTGAATCCAGGAAGAGAACTTGTCAGCTACGAGACTCCAAAGCCGGTCATTGGCATCCACAGATACGTGTTCGTTCTGTTCAAGCAGAGAGCAAGACATTCTGTAAGGCCACCTGCTTCAAGGGATTACTTCAACACAAGGAGTTTCGCAGAAGAGAATGGCTTAGGTTTACCGGTGGCTGCAGTGTACTTCAATGCACAAAGGGAGAATGCTTGCAGGAGAAGATGAAACTCTAATGAATAATTAATTATAAGCAAAAATAATGTTTCTTTTTGTTTCTTAGGTCTTGCCATTTGTGCTTACTCGTGCTATAATCGGTGTTCTAGTGTACTTGCATTCTGCTAAACCCTTTCCGAGGTTTAGGTAAATGCAGGGGTCCCACAAACTTTTAGGTTTAGTTCTTGAAGGATCTGATGATTAAATGCAGGTGTGTTTTGTTGGATTTATGATGGGATTATGAAGTGGGCCCCTCATCTTATGTATCAGAATAATGGAAAATTGTGTTTTTCTGTTTCTAATTTGCCTTTAATTATCTTTCTTTTGCTTCTATATGGTGATTATAATTTGCGAGAAGTGGGAAAAAGTTGGGTTTTGTTCTTAATCTGGACTTGTGAATTAAAATTTACAGTAATCTGGAGTTTGATCAGATACATTTCTCACTCATTTGGCAGTAATGTTAAGTTAATGAACTAAATCGTGCCAACGTTGATTTTGGAACTCTAAATGAAATGTTGGTAATAGGTCGGAGGAAGGTAAGGGTGCAAATTAAGCATTGAGCGAAAATTTGAAGTTTACTTTCACTTTGCAAGACCAGTCGAGAGGAAAAAAATATATATGGGAAAATCGAAAGAAATCTCGTATAATTTTACTTGTAGAAAACAATTAACGATAGTCAAGAAAAATGCCGACACTCAGATGACATCTGTTATAATCAATCATTTACATTCAGATTTTTTACAAGCTTGTTCAAATATCTAAAGCAACCTACAAAACCGGTCAACTTGTCAAGCCTGAACTAGATGTTCTTGATCATCACCAAGGACAATAAATAGCAGCAGAAAACCCGATTTTTGAAATACTTCTTCAACTTCTGGACTTTGAGACCAGAAACTTGAATCTGAGTATACTCTACTTGAGATAATCTTCTGTTTATAAAAACACGACTAAGATCTTACACAACCGTTCATGCACTTATTTCAGCATTACACTGATGCTCCCTGCTGCAGCTTCTTCTACCCCAAAACATACTCGAACATGTTGTTTTCTCCAATCGTATTCCTTCAGCTTGTACCTGTTCACTCACGGTGGATTGTGAATGACGAGACGGTTCTTCTTGAGTTTCATTTCCTCTGGAATCAAAATTCTGACAAGGTCCTTCATTGCATATGCACAGAGGGATTGCAACAGAGGGAAATGGACTACAAGTAACCGGACAGAAAATATCCGAAGAAACAGAAGCTGCACATTTCTTTCTCATATCAAGTGAGCTAGAAGCATCTGATATGTCTTGTTCTCTGTGGTGAAGGACGCATGGAGTGCATAAGCCAAGTGATTGAGGTAATTTAATTTCCTTTCCTGAGGAACCAGGCAATTTAACAAAAGAGACAATGCCATGTCGGCAAAGAGGACAGGGAATGGAACCAGGAGGTATTAATGATTCAGAACGGAAGTTACTGGTTGAGCAAAGGTAAAATGCACATTTTATGCAGAGTTCGTGTGCACATCCTGAAAGTCCACGGCATAATATTTTAGTAAATAACCATAAAAATCAAGATTTTGAGAGTGTTCTAAGGTATCAGATAAAAATGGAAGTCAAATATTCTCTCTTCAGCACATCAATATGCATGCATTCAAACTTCGTGCGCACATTCATGTTGTGTTTATCAGTTTCGTGTCAAGAAAGTGTACAACTTCCATCAGCACTCAAATACCTCAATTTTCGGGAAGGTTTCGACATTGGGGTTTGCATAAAGGTGGGAGAGCAGATCACCTCCATAATATAAACTTGAGGCCTGATTTAGCTCATTTGAGCAATTGAGCCCCATTTTTTCAGGAAAATAAATTTTGTAATAATGATTTTTTGGAGAATGTGTAGTTGAAAATGAGTTTGAAGAAAAATAGATTTTTGAAAAATGGGACTCAAACAAGGGTTTAGTGTAAAATGAACAGTCCTAATTACTGTAGGCACTACCAGTTTCCTCAATACTTTTTTTTGTTTGTCCTTCTTTCATTGTTATTCTTCTATCTTCCTCTCATACAAAAGGGTGTATACTCTCATTTTTATATTTTATCCATTCTAATAGGGCTACAAATCCATCCTCACTTCATCATTTTTCACCATATTCATCTTATATACGTTTAATCTTTCAACAGCCTAACCACTTGGTAGCATAAAGCATAGCATGTCTAATATAAATGTTTTGTTGAACTAGCTTTATAACAGTATCTTTCCATCACATAGAACTGATGTAACACTTTTCCATTTCATTCAACCCATCTTAATCCCGTGCATTGCACCATCTTCAAGTTCTCATTAATATTTGATCCAAAACTAAACTATAATATTTTGTGGCAAAATTATCTCTACGGCTGCTCTGAGACATTTCACATTTGAATTACACCTTAGTTTTATACTCAATTCACCTTCTACCAACATTACATACTATAACTCCCAAGCTCGATAACTGTGTAACCACTACAATTTTAAATATCTTCTTTATTCTTAGGCGCCACTATCTCTATGTTCATTTGGAATAATAATGTTTTTTATTAGCTTCAATTTCTCAATGAATAAGTAATACTAGTATACAAATAGACTACACCAGTTCTCAGAATCCTATTGTCCTACTATTTGGGAAACCAATCATGACCTTGAAAAAAATAGTTATATAAAGCAGTAAAATTGCTAAACAATTGAGTCCTTGAAATTTTTGGCCTTGATATTATTATTTACATACATTTTAGGTTTTAAAGATCTTAATAATAATTTACACTTAAATTCTTAAGAATAAGGAAATAAATTGAATGACTGTAAAAGTAGTGAGTGCTCATATTTTACCATTTTTAGTGATATGCATGAAATCAAGATCTTTGGTAGTACCGGACATGGGAATGTAGGTTTTTATGATACTGACCATTGACCAAGATAGATATGTTGGATCTTCCCTTTCTCTTTTATTTTAGATAATATTTCTTGTCCATTTTCTTTTATTTCACAGTAAATGGAATATTTAAGATATCCTCGAATACCAACTATAAATCCTCAAGATTACTTTTAAGACAGGGATTGATTGATTGGGCACGACAAGAAGCATTTTCTAAAATATGTGTCATGATTTTATATATGTAACTGGCAAGACTAAATTAAGATAAGAAGATGAGAGCAAATAAATGGCCAGAAAATAGGAATGCAACAATGACCCCCTATCAATGCATAAAGTTATTCACGTCCGTGTTTTTTTAATCCCATTGAATATAAAAACAGTTGGTCATCAGATATTTCTAATTTGTGAAAGTAAGTTGATTCCTAACATGCACGAATGAGGTAGAACTGACAATTGAAATTTCCATAAAAAAAGTAGGGAGAGGTCAGTGGGCATATTTTCATCTGGGAAAGAAGATAATAATACAGCTGACCTTCGGCAGCTACTGTACATGCTCTCTCCAAGCAAACTGCGCAAATCTCATTGTCATCAGAAACGGTTGCCGAGGACTGCAACCCATACTCTCTGCAGAAATCAGTCATGAACATAACTATCATGAACAAATAGCATTTCCATTAAACATTAAATTATAGTTTTACGTAAAGAATAAGCATGATCGGTTATTTGGGTATATGTAAATTTTCTTGACATCTCAAAATTCACCTTGCTATGTTGAGCACACTCATGAGTGGCAATGATAAATAGTTAGAAGGTGGAAACACTGGGAGGGTGAAGTCAGAATTAGGCGCCAGCAGTGGCTCAAGCCAATGACGCTCCCACATCCTTGCAACATCAATAGGAAGCCATCTGAAACAGAGAATAGGTCTGTTAAGTATCGAGTACTAAAGGTACATACAATGAACAAAGTCTAGAAGAAAAAATATCCAGTCGGCTTACTCATTGCAGTTCAATGCCAAACGACTGGCACCTCTTGCAAGAAGGATCTGCATAAATCAAAAGGTTCATAATTTCTGACTATGTCGATTGCAAATGTCAAGAAATAATAGACGAGGAATTTCATTTGTTTTCTTTCTCCATTAAGTGTAAATATCAACAAGAAAGAACTAATCGTCACCTGGCAGCATTTTAAATTTCCCCCACAAGCAGCATAATGCAAAGGAGTGCTTCCAGGTCCTAAGAAATAATATTTTGGAAGGACATCAAGTTAAAGCACATAATACATGTTTGGTAAAGTGGATTGGACGATACTGGCTTATTAAGAAAGTAAAACAAGATAAAATCTTAAATATTGTATTGTGTATTACTGTCCACTATTGTGAAAGAAACATGCATAAAGTGGTTTCCAAAAGTATCTTATTATTCTTTAACAAAATAACATACCGATCATATCCACAGATGTTCCATAATGGAATGTCACAGCAGACACATTGGCACGAAGGTCAAGTAGAAGCTGTACACAGTCGAAATATCCATTCAATGCAGCCATGTGAAGAGCAGTAATACCACAGTCTGCAGCCTTATTTACAAATTTGGAGAGAGCGCTGTGATGGAATATGAAAGATACATTTGAAAGGTCAAAGGTTGAAGCATTTGATCAACTTCAATTAAGTGGCTTGTTATCATCTTAACAATAATGTGATGAAGCAACTCAGCTACAGTTCTTTTTGAAGAGATGATCAAGCTGAAGTTTTAACTAATTCAGTCCTCCAAGTTTGAAGAGCTTAACCAAGTAGGAAGGAGATTGTATTTTATTGATAATCTAATTCATCAAAATTTTTTTATAATGATGAATAGAATGCTCCTCATACAACTAAAAGAAATGCACAGCTGCATAAAAATATCTGAAACTTCCAAATTGCATTCATATTAGCATTATATTCTTTTTTTAATCTCATTAGTTCATTTTTCTCTGTCTCAGCTGGAACCACGACTCTCAAACACACCAAAGCCTGTATATCACCAGAACCTTGCACGTGTGATTATTTTCAAAATATCGCTGGAACTGCTAAACTCATACATCTTGCCCACAATGAAAACAAGTGAAAATAGTAGAACCGGGAAAACAATTCATTCATCTTTGTTAATCATTCTATTGCACTTTGGGAGTTCAATCATAGCGTACACTTTCCCATCAAGCGTGGATCTACCGAATATTCCAACTATATAAAGGACTTATTAAGGAACCCTTTTGTGTGCAAGAGAGGTGCGAGGAAAAACTTGAATTTTAGCTTCACCATTTAGTGAATCCATTGAGGGTCAATCACTAAATATCTGTGTGCTTCACTTGTTATATATTATTATTTATTTCAAAAGCATGGATCGTGGTTGAATCCAAAGAACTCCTATATGTACTTATGTTTCAAATTTTTTTAAAAAATTCCAGGAAAAAGCTTATGCAAACTGGATTTTTCTGATTACCTTTTTCTGTATTAGTTGAAGATTTTTTTTATTTTTTTCCTTCCTCCAGAATCAATCATTAGGTATCGAATTAGACCAATGGAACTCTGTCTGCTAATTATAAGAAGTATATATTAATACGATAGGAGCTGGATTGAACTTTAACATGCCAAAAGATCAGATGAACATGGTGAATGATGCAGAGTCGGATAAAAGCAGAACATACAAACAAACATAAACCACAAACCTCAGTTCAGGATTGCTTTTAGTATTCAAGCTATCCCCTCTACCACCATTTGATTGGGCATTTACAGGTTCAAATGGAGCGCTGGGAACAAAATCAGCAACCAGTAGTCGCAAACATCTCACATGTCCATTCACTGCAGCAAAATGTAGAGCAGTCCTGCCACTAATATAATCCGCTCTTGTTACCTGAAAGGCAGCCAGAGCATGATATTCAAGTAATTGTAACAAGCTTCTCAAATTGGAAATCGGATATAAATACACAAATTTCCACCATATTTTTCTCTTCACCGAAATAATAAATGTTAAAAATCAAAGGTAGGAGAAAATGGCTTTTCATTTTTGCCATAATATAAAAAGGGTGGAAAGCAAATGTAAAAGAAAAGATCTCTAAATGGAAGCTTTACATTGCATCTGAAGAGAAGAAGAGTTTGAACAACTTCCCAGTGGCCGTATCGACACGCTTGCATCAATGCTGTCTGCAGAAACCATTTCTAAAACATCTCAAAACTCGGATTTACAGAGATCCAACATTTGATCTTTTATTTCAAGAAAAATCCCACCTATATTATCTCATATAAAAATTGTATCAATAAAACAACCGACCCCAGTCTCCCTTTAAAATTACAAGAAAAATCTGTATATCCACTTTCACCCTCTAAACATATGTGAAATCCCAGTTTACATCCATAATAAAATTAAGCATAATTCCAGAAATAAGAAGGCAGAGGTAAAATAGTAAAATTTTAGTACCTGCCCACAATAATTTCTTGAATTCACGTCAGCTCCATTTTCAAGCAACAATGCCACAATCTAAAAATCCAAACTTTCACGAATCAAGAACACAACAATAACACAAATTCAATTACATATATACCAAAAAAATAAATAAAAATTGATGGATTCTTCAAGAAAGAATCACAAGATGAAATAATTAAAAAAAAAAGGGTGGGGGATGGGGGGGAGGGGTTGAACCTCATTGTGGCCTTTAGCAGCAGCAAAGTGAAGAGGAGAGTTTAATCCACCAAAAGTTGAGTACTTTGCAAGGCATGGATTGCAATCCAATAGCATCTTGGCCTCTACATAGTCTCCATCTCTTGCAGCCGATACCAACCTTTCTCCTGATGCAGAGCACCCAAAAGAATTCCCCATTTTGGTTTTCTTTTTTTTTTTTTTTCTTCAAAGAAATTCTACGGTTCTACCTCTCTGATATATAGGCTCTATGTATGCACTTATCGATGTTAAGACTGTAAGTTGGAAGTTACAAAAATTAGGTAAACAGTCTTTACTCAGATTTTCAGCAGTACGAAGGGAAAAAAAAAAGATGACCCGTTGTGAAAAATCGGAGATTTTCTTGGAATATATGAAGTTTCGTCCTACTTTCTATTTCAGAAGAAAAAAATTATGTTGAGATCATCGGTGCATATTTATTATTTAATAAAAGTATCATCAAAACGAATAAACAAATCAACGTAAAATATGACAAATTATCAAGAAACGAACTTTCTATGACAAGTTTCTGAAAATTAATTTTGAAAACATTTATTCAAGATTTTTGATTGTGTAATGTTGTTAAAAATTAAAAGATGTTATGTTTTGAGAAAGCAAATTTTATTATAATCCGCTTAAAATCAAGTATTGTTTAGCATTTGTCTTTATTCAGTTTATTCTATTCCTACTTTTCTAAAAAGGTGTTGAAATTTACGTACTTAAGCAACTTGGATGTTTTGTTCTGTTTGTTTTTTCTCACTTTTTAAATAAAAGTAATTAACGAAAAATTAGGAGAAAATGCAGAAAATTGAGCCCTGAGTGGGCCCTTAGATTTGTGACAATACACCGGTGAAAGATGAGCAATTCTTTTACTTTTATGCCTTAAAATCAGGCACAAGAATTGCCCTTTTTCAGGCTTATGTACTGCTCTTCTTCAGTTTCGGATAACGAAACGACTCCCAATGCACTTGAAAGTTAAAAAGAAAAATCAATTATAATTATCTATGAGCGAATGATAAAATAGAGTTTTTGGAGCACTTCTCGTCCCTATTTTCGAGAATAAATATATTTTAGAATGGGTAATTAGCAGAAATAGTCCCTATCGTTTACATTCATTGCTAAAATAGTCCTTATCGTTTTAAATTTGATATTTATATCCTTATTTCAAACCTTTGTTGCGGAATTGGTCATTTCCGTCCACTTCAGTTAAATCCTCCGTTAAATGAGGCAAAATAGTTTTGAATTTTTTTTATTTTTGTCTCAATTTTGTGGGATTATTACGAGATGTCAAATGAAATCGAAATATTTAATTCTTAATATTATTTTGAAGTGCTCACGACCTAGTTTCCTCTATCCCTAACGGCGTGTGAAACGGCTAAACGTAGCTAAAGTTACCAATCGTCGAAGAAGACCATTCCAAAATATATAGATGATATTTTTTATTTTTGTCTCAATTTTGCGGGATTATTACGGGATATCAAATAAAGTCGAAATATTGCATTCTTATTATTATTTCGAAGTACTCACGACCTAATTTTCCACATCTCTAACGACATGTAAAACTGCCAATCGTAGCGAAAGTTACCACTCGTCGAAGTAAGTAGTTCCAAAAATAAGAAAAAAAAAACATTTTTGTCTCAATTTTGGAACGGCCTACTTCGACGAGTGGTACCTTTCGATACAGTTGGTCGTTTCACAAGCCGTTAGGAATAGAGGAAATTAGGTCGTGAGCACTTAGAAATGGTATTAAAAATGTAATATTTCGACTTCGTTCTGATATCCCTTAATAATCTCGCAAAATTGAGACAAAAATAAGATAATCGTTTATATATTTTGGAACGTCTTACTTCGACGAGTGGTAACTTTTCTAGGCTGGTCGTTTCGCATGCCGTTAGGAATGGAGGAAACTAGGTCGTGAGCACTTTGAAATGGTATTAAGAATGTAGCATTTCGACTTCATTTGACATCTCGTAATAATCCTTCAAAATTGAGACAAAAATAAGAAAAATCGTTAATATAGTTTGGAACGGCCTTCTTTGATGAATGATAACTTTCGCTACGATTGGTCATTTCGCACGCCGTTAAGGATGTAGGAAACTAGGTCTTGAACACTTCGTAATTGTATTAAGAATAGAATATTTTCGACTTCATTTGACATCTCGTAATAATCCCATTAAATTGAGACAAAAATAAGCAAAATTCAAAACAATTTTGCCTTATTAATGGAGATTTAATGGAAGTGGATGGAAATGACCAGTTTCGCAACAAAGGTTTGAAATAAGGGTATAAATATCAAATTTAAAACGATAGGGACTATCTTAGCAATGAATGTAAACGATAGGGACCATTTCTACTAATTACCCTTTTAGAATAGTAATTTTTTGAAAACTCGTGGTTAAAAAATAAGGAAAAAAATTGAGTTGATATTTAAAATTATTTTTTTGAGAGAAAATGTAGTTGAAAATGATTTTTTGAAAAAAATAGAGCCCAAACATGAGCTTATCATTAGAATATCATGAAGTCAAACTGATTTCATAACATACAATTATGTAATTTTTATTCGTCTAAAATTACTTGTGATTCTACTTTTGGTGGATAAATTGTCATCTATTGAGAGTTGAAATATGCTGTCGATTTTTGTCGTCCATCAAACTGCAAATTGATACATCTTGAAAAATTAAAATTAATATTAAAGATTGAAAAATTAAAATTGATGACAACTTTAATTTTTCATGATTTGTCAATTTACAATTGGCAACAGATCTTAACACATCTATTGAATGTTAGAATTAAATTGTTATTAAACAAATAGGGTTGCAAGTTAAAAATTTAAATTGACATAGTTTACATTATTAAAAGTTGTTTTTGACATCCTTAAAATTTTAAAACACATTGTTTTGAATAGTCTTTTTTTTTTTTTTTTGAAGAATATGTAATTAAAAAGTAGGGAATTTTTTTGAATTTACTTGTAAAATATTTTATTATGTGAATATGTGGTTGAAAATGAGTATGCGAAATAAATTAAATTCAAGCAAAGGATGTCAAACATGGACTCGATAAGGTATAATTAATAATAAATCAATTACTTAAATAGTCTCGACTCGACTAGCTTCTCTTACGGAAAAAAATATTGAGCCAACGATTATTCACAAATGAATCAATTATTCTCTTCTTTAGGGAAGTGGAGTATTATAAAAGACGCCACTCTACGAGGGAACCTGAGTCAAATCTTTGTGAGTTCATCCCAAATCGTGATTTTGAACCTGTTTTTTCCATGAGCCCTCTTTAGAGATTGCCCCGCCTCAACTTAGACGGGGCGGGGCTCGGGGTGAGTGCGGGGCACGGGCCTGTCTCCTTTTTTTTTTTATTTCCAGTTAAATTACAAATTTTAAATTTTAAAATCCAAAGCTAATAATGCTCAAACTAACTACATCAATATCTAAAGCAAATACTCGAAACAAAACATGTCCAAAACAAACAATGACCAAAACAATTTTTTTTTAATTCTTCACTAGGCGGGTTCGGGGCGGGGCCCCGCGGGGAAAATTGCTAACCCTAGCCCTCTTAATTGAGATGAGATAAGAGATTCAATGCTTGGATTGAAGTAAGATCCATTTGACATGACTTTTGAGACCCAAAATCTGCTTTTGAATCCGTTTGATTAATTTTATGAAAGTGTTTCTAATAATTCCAAACAAGCTCGTGATCATATTCAAGATCTGTTTGAACTTCTACTTTTTCTTTTGGCTTTGTAAAAAAGTTTATTGATAAAGTTATTTTTTATCAATTCTTCCTATAAGACAATATTTTTACAAAATTATCCAAACATGTTTAAGAAAAAACTTCTTAGTTTTTGATAATAATTATTGGCTTTCAAAATCCACTGCAAACGCTCCTTAATATATGTGAAAACAATGTCAAATGGGGCAAGCAGGAAAAAACAAAGCACCTTGTTTTTGTCAGAGAAATGGGAATGCTGCTTCAAATTGGTCATTTTGACCCGAGCGTGTGTGCTGCAGTCTTCAGATGGGTCAAAAGAGTTTTTATGCATTGTCATTGTCATTGTCAATTATGTCACTCACTCGTTCAAAGCTTTTTATTATATATTTATATAATAAAATATTTTAAACGTAAACTCAAAAATTTCGTACTTTTTAACTAAGCAATCTTAAAAAAATCACAATTTAAAATAATATTATTCCAAAAAAATGTCACCAAACAAGGGCATATACACTATTGTGTCATGTGCTACGAGAAGTTAGATTTACTTTAAAATTGTTTATTTTGTCAAACTAATTTTATAAATTATTTTTTTATTAATAAAATTTAGGATTTTACAAGTTAGATCACTTGTAGTTGGCGGCTATGATAATATCAATGATGTAAATATTGATCTGATCATCAAAAAAAAAAAAAAAAAAGTACTACATCTACAGCCTTTTTACACATACATTTGGACAGCCCTCTCACATGGGGGGTGGGGCCCGTAATTATGATCTGATCATCAAAAAAATATATACTACATCTACAACCTTTTTATACATACATTTCGACAGCCCTCTCACATGGGAGATCCCGGGCCCCACATCCATATGAGAGGACTGTCAAACTTACTGCGTAAAAAGACTGTACATTCAGCCTTTTCCAAAAAAAAGGGATCAAGGTCAAACTATCAAATCCAGATCGAATTAGGGTTAACCCAAAGTTAAAATAATAAATATAATTATATATTGCATTAAAGTTTTGTTTAATTTATAGAGCATTTTAAAATCTGTATTTAACATTTATTATATATGGAACAATTTAACATTAAATTGTGTAATTAAATGGCTGTTAAAAATGAAGTTTGACTAATTTATAACCTCAAAAAATGAACAGGAACTAGTTACGCTCCTCTGCAAGAAAAAGTTAACATAAATCCATAGTTTTCGCTTTTGAAATGTGATTCCAAAACAAATAGTCCATATTACCAATCCCTAAAATGAATATGTCGACAAAAGTTCAATGAATTCAATCTAGGCCACCTCTTTCTTGTCTTCTATTTCTGCCTTCTCTCTCACATACACAAATATACGTATTTGTATACATTTACATAAATACTTGTATTTGTTTAAGATTGGTTTTAGTTTTTGGATTTGGATGTTTTAACCAAACCTTGTACA